TTATGTGTAATTATATATAAATATATATATATATATATATATATATATATATATTGTATCTATAGTTTATGTCGTAACATTTCCTGTAGTGTTCTAAGAATAAAACTTGTACATTAAAAGACTTTTATAACTTTTAATGATCTCTATTAAACAATTTTTTTAAAAATGTTAAAATTGTCAAAAACAATTTATATGTAAAATTAAGAAATTATCTTTATATATATATATAGGTGCGCATGTGTGTAATTATAGATAGTTATAGATAATAAAATAAAATATTTTATTTTGACAATAAAAGCATAATTTATTATACTTTATTCTTATTTAAGATGTATGGTTTAAAAATTATTTGATAATTATGATATAATTTAATTGTCTGTTTTAAATTATTTTTTAATGAGGTATAACTTCGTCTTATCATAGTTATGATTTCATGTCCCATCATAATTGAATTTTATACTAAGTTACAAGTGTTAAAATTATTTGTACTAACAATCTTTGATCCGATATCACTTTTTAAAGTAAGGATGATCTAATATCATTTATATACATCTAGGTAGAATAATTTTAATAATTTTTCCGTAAGGTAAATTACTATACACTTTTAATATATTTTTTTTCACACCATCATACTATTTATCTGGATATGGGTTCAAATGATTTTACTAATTTTTCATTTTATCAAACTCGAAAACAAATACACAATTATATAGCCTTTTAAAAATAAAAATCTGTGTGGATAAATTACTTATTCTAAACAAGGAAGTTGATCTCACATAAAATTTTCCCTTATGTTGAATCAAATAAAGATAGATATAGTTTACACAACTATAAACATAATAAATGTGTAAACAATTTGAGTGCAACTATCATGAGTATTTATTAATGACTTAATGTAGGGTAGCAAATGTGAGTGGAATTCAGATGAGATCAACATATTTTAGTTTTCACTCAATAATTGTTTGGAATAAGAAATGAAGAAGCTTCATGTCATGTGTTATACTTACACCACATGGGTCCCTCTATAGTGTGATTGGTCGAAAAGCTAGGCTAAATAAGACAATGGGCCAGCATGGTTGACTTATCATAACCCAATTATGGGTCCATCATTATAGACCCATTACCAATTAGCACCATTCAATTTCATTGGATGAACCATAACTTTTAAAGAATAATAAACAAATTTGAATGAGCGTGAACTTGGATCCATGATAACCCCAAAAGAATTTTCTTCTTTGGTTTATTGAAAAATAATGGATGCTCATTTGAATTCAGCCACACACAAAAAGGAAAATAAAAATGCATGATAACTCAATGATTTTGCATAATTCTTCATCTTTTTTATCAGTGTCTTTGTTATCTTCTTATTAGGTGTTTCAATTTTCAGCATTTCGGGCTTGGAGCGCTCAAAAACACATGCAAACCAACGAAGCAAAAACAGGTTCATATCATGACAGGTTTGTCTTGTTATGAATTTTGTTTTCTAGCTTTGCTAGTGACTGTGGATATTGTGGATAAATCAAGAGATTCTTTCTTTTCTGCTGCTACCTCATCTTTCAGAAAATTACTATTCATAAATGATTTTTTTTACAAAAAAAAAATTACGAAACGAGTTAAAATATAACTATGAATCCATTTAAGTATTTAGGTGAATTACCAATAAACTTGTATTATTGAAAAGTAATGATAAATACTTAATTTTTTAAAATAAAAATATTTTAATACAAACTAAAATACTTTGTGAGGAGATAGAAGATTGCTATTCTTCTACAAATATATGTATCCTTTTATTTTTCCAATGTCTCATTAAACGTATATTAAGTGTATATCTCCAAAAGTAACTTCATAATAAGTTTGGTGTGTTTGGAAACTTGGAGTTGAAAAAAAAAAGTTACACTCATTTTTTTTCTTCTTAGTTTTTCTGTTTAAAGTGATTTTAGTCCTTTCATCAACATTGGTAAGGCGTGATAGAAATATTGATGCGAAATGTTTATATACATATAACAATATTTGTCAACTAAATACATACATGATAGTTAAATGATGTCATCTCCTGAACACTGAAAAAGGCTAAAATCCAGAGACATTTATTTTGGGGAACAGGATGGTAGGAAAATTTCAGTTTTTGTCAACGTTTTTAAAGACAAGGCCCATTAGTGATTTTATGTAATTTATTTAATAAATAGTGTTATACTCCCTACGTTTTTTATTTATAGTTATTTTGTCAGAATTTATCATTTTTTTCATTGTTATTTTACTAAAATCAATGATTTATTAATTTTTTTTCTCATTTTTATCCTTGATAATTAATGTATATTCACTGAATAATGTCCTTATTTATTTTTAATGTCTACCTATTTTTTCTCCAGTTATCTATGAAAAGTTAATGTTACATTTAAAAAGACAATATATTTCCAACGAAATACTATAAAAAAATAGAGGGTAGAATAGAAAAGTAAATAATAAATATTTTTAAAAACTAAAATATCAATCATTTTTCTAAGTTCCGTGCAAAACTTTAAACAACTATGAATAAAAAATAGAAATAGTATATATTAACGTTTCACATTAGTGTTTCCATTACATTTCATAAAGCTAACTGACAAAAAGGTTATCTTGTTATATTATTATTATTATTTGCGAGGCTCTTGTTCTGTTACAAGTAAAGTGTAGTTAATAAAGAGAGGAAAAGCTAACCAAAGAACATGTATTTTTGGATGCAAGCTAAAATCAAGTAATCTTGAAAAATACGAAATTGCAGTTGAGCTAAAGTTATTGGTTATTTGTCTTGTCAATGTAATATACTGTGTTGCACCGCATTGTTTGCTTAGAAAATGGACTGAAATTTAATGAAAGTAACAATTATAGATACGTGACATTTAAGGGTTTTTGATGTATTCCACCACTATTTTCGGTGCTTGTATTGCATCATAGTTCTTTTGGCAACCAAAAAGTTGGTTACAAAGTTTACAGAATGATATTGATACCAACCAGTAGTTTTCCACTTTAGACAGGTCGGTTGAGAGCTTCTAAAAGAATACAAAAATAAAACTGGTTATCAATTTCAGAAAATTAAAAGCATAGCTGAACCAATTTTATATTGAAGCTAAATCGACATTGATTCTTTGCCTAGGATTCATTCAACTGGTATTGCAAGCAATGTAGCGAAATTCCTCCGGATTTAAAGTATCAAAAGGACATATTTTTTTACAATCTTACAGTTAATGCAATTCTCTGATGTGTTTAATCAGTGCAAGATGTTCATATTTTACTTCAATTACCCTCTAATTTTTTCTTCAGTCTTATCTATTCAATACAATTTTTTCCACCCAAAACAAGAACACCACTTGATTTAAGTTTAATTTGGTTCCTAATTCCTATCCTCCTTGAACTTAAGAGGTAAGGATAGATATAAATGATGGACCCATAAACCTTTAAGTAAAATATGACACATGCTGGAGTGTACACTCATTCAAAACTCCCATTTTTTTAGTACAACATGAATCAGAATATGTATAATCCCCAAAAAGAATGACACTAATATAAGGATATCAGTAAATTAACAATTCTCTTGATCTCATCATCTGTGAAGTCTATCTATTCTCTCATGTGGTATATATAAAAACCTTCCCTAAGGAACCTTCTTAATATGGGACAATGCTAACCTCTCCAAGTATACAAGGGGGCAAATTACGACTGAAAGAGAAAGAAAACTAAGGAAATAATAAAACACAACCACCTCTCTTCTAATGACTGGAAGAAAGGAGAACTAGCAAAATCAAAAGAATGGCGTGGTAGCATCCCGTGGCAGTAAGCAATAACAAGAGCAATAATTCCTTCACTACCTTCTGAGCCTACTTTGCTTTGTATTATACCCACAAATTCTATTCATCATCCGATTCCAGAGTTGGGCTCTTAGAACAGGTCTCCTTTTGATGGAGTTCCAACATTTTCTTTTCGGGATTACAGAGGCCTGTAGGTGAACAACAACCAGATCACTAACATAGAATCCTTTTCTTTGGTGTATATATGGACAAACACACATTTAACAAGAAATAAAATGCTGACTAGAAACATCTAAAAGAACCTCCGTAAAGATTCAATCATACAAAAGTCTGGATATAAAAGAACCTTGCCAAAAGCAGATTCCTATTTTATGGATCATATTCATGACTCAAAATGAGTAAAGATCGTTCTTAAATCTTTTGTTCTAACACAGCTGACACCTGATATACATAACACTAACACATTTGACCGTTTATCTTGATACAAGAAACTTTAGCAGCCCATGCATTCTACTCTAAAATAAAATGGAGGATTTTAAAGGAATATGGGGAGACAAGGTTATCAAACTCTCGAGTTAACTAGAAAGAGTTTAAAATCCTAAGTAGAGAAATGAGTTCACTCTATATCAGACTTTTTTCTGGATAAGCTCATGTAAACTTCTAATAAACTCTTGTGTAAAGAGGCAAGTTAGCAAATTTGAAATCATATGTACTTTTTGCCCCCACCAACTCCATAGTGTTAGTGTTTTACTACGACATGAATGATTTGAAGAAATCAATTCCTTTTTGAAATATTTTCACTTTAGGAACTTGTATTTTTATGAAATTATATATAATTTGATCATCTATGTAGTTTAATTTTTAGTACTAATATACTAAAACACCTTATTATTTTATTTTACCACTTTTCCTTTTTATGGAGTTGAAATATATTGAATTATTGTTGTGTTAAGAATATAATATTATGTATATATGTCATTAATAGGTTTTTAAATATGATTTTTTTTATAATAAGTGAACTCTAATGAGTTTACAAGCCAAGGCTATGAATCGAGTCTACAAAAGCTCCACGAGTTTACATAGACTCTTGAGTTTGACACCCTTGAGGAGAGGGAACTGAAAATTTTCATTTTAACTAGACATCCCTTATTTGAGATTATACTAAATGAAGGGAATAAAATGACATTGTGATGTAGCCTTTCAAATAATACCTTAACATCCCTTACTTCATTTTTATAAAAACTCTTAATTCAGAAATTAAAAATTATCCCGGCCTCCCCCCACAACTCCTCCCATCCATTGTTGGACAGAAAGATACAAGACATTGAAAAGCATTTCACCATGCGGTACCCCAGTAATACCTATGAATAATTATTTTTAGGGATCCGAATTCATGAATTTAATGTATTTTTAAGATTTTCCAAGGAGCTTCTATCATACAACGTACAAACTCCCAAATACTGATTCGGTAACATCTATGTGCAAAGAGAAACACCAACCTGAACACTTAGGAAGATCCCACACAGCAATAGATGTGGCTGTACAGTCTGTCGCACAAAGTTCATGGTTATTCTCATGATTGACATTCATCGCAAGCATCCAAGCTCCAATAGTAACATCCTCATTGCTGAACATCCGAAAACTGTGAAGCAATGCAAGAATTATATTGAAGTGGGAAAGAGGATAGGTAATGAACAAGGTCCAAAATCATCATGTTTGTCCAGTGTAATCTTCACCATTGAAATAAATTCTAAGACCTCAACCTCCAAAATATGATATTGAGTGGACAACAATAAGAGCATAGCTCTCAATCCATTTGCACCAATGACACAACTGAACATGACTAAGCAAAGTTTAGAGCATTATCTCAACCCCTATTTTATTTTAATTAAGGCAAGAAACAGAAATTATCCAACCCAAGCACACAAATAAACAAAATGCAATAAATGAGATAAAGAAAAGGCAGATATGTAACAATACACAAAGAAAACACAATACCATTACATATGGATCACCCCAAAAAGAACAAAAGTTCTATATCTAAACACCAAGTGTATCAAGTATTACTTCCTGCAGCTTCCAATAAATTACATGAGATTTGTGATCCTACTGTCCACTGAAGGTCATGTGGCCATGCAAGTTATGGAGGAAAGGAAACTTGCCTGTCATTCCTTAGAGCAACCAAGCTTGAGACAACATCAGCCGAAAGAACATATATTGGACCATAAGCATGAAGAAAATACTCCTTTCCAAGCAAATATGACAGTGGCTCATACCTACAAGATTTTATAAAGAGGAGTACACAAAATAGTTAATATGCTGGTTATATTTCAAAGTCCTAAAATGTAACAAAATTGGTGAGGCTAGATAGCACACTACACTAGCATTTTCAAACAGAAAAATAAAAGGGTAACAATAGTTAGGACCTAAATATTGGCAACGAGGTGACACATTAAAAGGTGTGACATTGTTTCAATTTAGTCCTTTGTGAAAATAACTTGGGGATCTTGTTTCTATCCAACAACAACTGAGCCTTATTCCACTAAGAGGGATTGAGTACAAAAAAAATCAATCCACAACTTCAGACTCTACCATAAACCATAAAAGAGCCATTGTACAAATATTTAAGTATACATTGTATATAGGTTCATGAAAGATAATTTTCATTTTTGGTGGATATTACTGTTTAAGAAATTTTATCTGTAATAATCAAATGAATATTAAAGATGAAAACAAATAATAGTTGAAGATGTCATTTAGAATTCTATAATAATTTTAACAACATTTTGTGATTTAAACCACAATTATATATTTATTTTGATTCAATCACAGCTTCAAGTTTTGCACGAGTGTTTATGCATTTCATTAAGTATAGAGCCTATGGTCTCATTCTTCAACCTGTTTCTTAGAAGTAGAACTCCACACCCAACAAAAAGAAATCAAGAGAAAAAGAAAAACTAGAAACAAAATTGTAGAGAAATTTCAGGCCTGTTTGATTACTTGAAATACAAGGTTATCAACTCTCAATTTAAATCATAAACTACCAAACTAATTGCGAATCATAAATCATATCAAATTGTAAGATTCAAAGACACAATGAAAAAAATAACTTGAAATACATCATATGATTCATATATATGAAATAGTGCTTAATGTAATAATTTATATTAGAAATTGAGAAAACAAGACAAGTGTCACTGTGTCACAAAACAAAATTATTTCAGAAAACAAGAGAGCAATGGAACAGTCAAATAGAGTACATAAAATGAGATATGATGTGAGACCCTATTTCAAAGAATGAAAACAGAGGAATCAAATAATCAAATAGGTTGCTTTTATTAGTTCTTCTTCAGTTCCTTTATGTTCATCAATTTAAACTTATCTTCCTTTTCAATTTCTTTAATGAGAAATGGTGGAAAGAAAAGTAAAAATAACAAATCACTGGATTGAATGATTGGGCTCTATGATATGGAATTGCATTGATTTATCCATGTATCAAACAATTCAAGGTCATCTGCAACGATTCATTACACTATACAATTCGCTAGCTACACAAATTGTAAAATTTGAATAGCAAACCATAAGATTCTAATAACTATGATTAAATATTTAAAACCAACATCAAGTTCTATATATTAATCTATCCCCATCACTGGAGCAATTTATTAATGGCATTTTTTTTCTCGCTGAAAAAAATTGTGGCATGCTGATAGCATGGAGTTGGGAAAATTAATACTCAACAAGATCAAACTAAAATCTCAGATCTAAACTCATCAAAACAATACTAACCATTTGAGCTTTGGATCAGTGAAAACAGGTCCCTTTTTCATGCATCCTATGTATGTCTGAGGGTGAGATCGCTCTTTGGCCAGTAGTAATGATAGACGATCTGACAATAAATTGAAAATATGTGCATAAATCATAATTAGAGGTGCAAAAAGTAATCTCATAAAGGAAGTTCATCAATGTATTTCATCACAAGAAGCATTGAAAGATCTAGTCACCTGGCCTTAAATATATGTCATCATCAGCTTTGACATAAAACTCAGCATCAAAAAGTGCATAAGCAGCTTTGAAGAAAGCTAACCTGTGATAAAAGAATATTCAATTTAGCAACATACTACAGATAAAATGCAGAAATTTAGTCATTCTCAGCACACACGTTTTGTATGGGAGCTTACTGTACTCCTCTTGGATATCCAACTGAATAAAATCATCATATTCTGCTATTTCCTTCTGAAGCGCAGACATCTTTGATCTATCACTTGTTCTACCAATGATAAACCTAAAAGCCAACCCAGTGGCATCTTCCAACCTGCAAGTAACAGTCAATTATTAAAAATGACAGTAACAACTTGCACCATTCTCAAACCCAGCTTCCCCAAAAATATCCAACCCATCAACAAAATACTACTACCCACTTTACACAACTTCACACACTGCAATCTACATTTAGATATTAAATAGAACCAAAGACAAGCCAGGTAAACACAGTCCAGAACCTAAAATTACTCATGAACCAATCTATCATGTAAGCTGTATCCAATTCATATGGAAGAAGTGGAGCATTCAGAAACAGCTCCACAACAAGCTTTGCAGAATGCTAATCAATAATGTACCTTTCTTTTTCTCTCATTTCCCTTTTATACATTAATATCAAGAAAAATACTAGCAATACACTTCTAACACACTCTACTATTGGATGAAATGTACTGAAAATCACAAAATTTTGTAGGTCTGACATCTTGTTTAATGAGTCATTTTCTTGATCTTGAAGTTTTCAATAAATTTTAATGTGTTAAAATGAATATGTTAGCAAGTGTGTTGCTAGCACACCTCTTAATATCAATGTTGCAAAATCTAGACATAAATTGAGAGTTTCACTCTCCAACATGTCCATGATGATTAAAGTACATTTCCCAAACTATAGCTGTGTATATATAATTCAAAAAAAAAGCTTAAATATAGTTTTAATTCCTAAAAAAATCTTTTTGTTTTAGTCTCTAAAAACAATTATTTGTATTTAACCCTACAAAAACCAAATGCCCCTAGTCCTTCATGAGGGTCCAAAATCATGTTATTTTTGTAACTATTTGTATCAATAGAAAAAATTACAATGATAACAATAAGGATCAAATCTAAGTTCTCATACATCTACCACAATCTCCTACCACTAGGCCGATCTTAACGTCAGAATTAAAAATGAATAAATTTTTATAAAAAAAATATATTTTTTCAATGACCTAAGCATATTTAAACCATAAACAAACATAGAAACACATCTATGGTAACATTTTCACCCAATAAAAATACATTTCTTTTAGATTTATACATTATACATTTTTTGAAAAAACATAAAAACAATGCATCCATTAAAAGCAACAGAGTGAATTCCCAAATTTGATGGTCCACCTAAACAAAGCAAAAATCTCACCCTACTCCTACTCCAACCACAAATTCGTGTCATATTAGTCTTCACATGTCTGAATGTTTAAGTTTTGGAGTCGCTAAACAATTACCCTAAAGAGAATCCGTAACATCACTCTAAAAACGCTCTTCAT